ATAATATTGCTGTGGTTATTGATTATTTCATATTCAACACTAAAATTCTATACAAATAAACTAGAAAATTATTTTTAATGTGGTATACATTTTTTACAGGGCTGTGAAAATAATGTTGTTTGCATTCATATGAATGCTGATGAGGAAGGGCGATTTGGATTTAATGTAAGGGGTGGTTCAGATTTAGGATTACCAATTGTTGTGTCTAGAGTTGTCCCTAACACAGCAGCTTATCGATCACAACCTAAACTTTGCGAAGGTGATCAGGTTAGTTATACATTTTTCTTATATTCTTAGAATTTTAAACCTTGATTAATTTGCTAATTTAAGATCTAAGTATAATTTTTCTAAATTATTTATACTTAATATACATTATTTGAATGCAAATTATTAACAATATCGAATCATTTAGGTTTTAATGATAAATGGCCAAGAAGTCAGTGAGATGGTTCATGATGATGTAGTTAATTTAATTAGAGCAGCTAGAGATGTTGAACATGATGGAAAATTAGTTTTAACAGTTCAACAAAAAGGTAAAAATCATAAGAAATAATTTAGATAATATATTTATAAAATAATTTTTTTTATCTTTAATAATAAGAAAAAAATGTATCAAACTATTATATACCTAATATAGAAGAAAATAATTTGTTTTTTTTTAATTCAATTTTCAAAGTTCTATGAAAAGTGATATTTAAATTGTTCGATATTTAATACATTTTTAAATATAAATATCAGATAATGTTTATCTTACTAAGTGAGCAATTACTGTTGTATTTGAAATATTGTTCTAAATAAAATAAATTGTCCATTATATCAGTGTTAATGCTGTTTAACAATTTATAAAAATAGTTTTAAAGGTTTATTTATTTGCAGGAATTGTTATTAAGATATGTCATGAATTAAAATTAAAATTATAAGTTTGGATAGCTAAAATAAGACATAAATCACAATAAGGATAAAAATAATGTATTAAAAATATATTTAATAATACATTTGTATTTATCCCTGTACTTGAAAATTATGTTATTATTTTATATGAAATAACTATGTTTATTTTTTTGTAAAATTAATAATAAATTTACTTTATAAAGATATGTTATTACTCTAAATTTTGGTAACCATGTCATTAAATATTAAGATATAAAAGCAAACAGTTATTATAATAATTTACTTAAGTGTACAAATTTTAAAATAATTTTAAATTTTAATTTAGTCATTAAATATTACTTTGTAGTATTTGCAACCTAAATTATTTTATATTAATTCAACTTTTTCATGAACTCTTTATATATACTTTAAAATGTAGAAAAATCAATGTTTCTATGATAAGTTATAATTTATAGGTGATGACGATGACGATGACGATGATTGTTTGAAAGAAAAAGAAGAAGAACCTTTATTTCAGTATATACCAGAATCTCCTCCAAGTAATATGTCATCTGATCCATTGGTTCAATCTATATTACTGCTTGGAGATGGTTTAGCAAGTGGATCTTTACTAACACAATTTGAACAACTATATAGGCATAAACCAGAAACTTCAATGGATAGTGCTAGAACCACTCAAAATATACATAAAAATAGATATCGTGATATAGCTCCCTGTAAGAAATTTGATGAAACTTCTTTAGTATATACATATATCTAAAGAAAAAAAATTATTAATATATTGTTATATAAAAAACGTATAATTTCAAACAAATCGTGTTTATTAATTCTAAATATTTTTTTGAATATTATTCAGATGATATAACTCGATATATTATCAAAAATCAAGATCATGATTATATTAATGCCAACTATATAAATATGGAAATACCAGGTTCAGGAATTATTAACAGATACATAGCAACACAAGGTTAGTAAATACATATTAAATTTAGAAGTAATTTCTTATTTAAGTTTACACTAGTTTTTTTTTTTTATAGGACCACTTCAAACAACAATAAGTGATTTCTGGAATATGGTATTAGAATCCCGTAGTACCTTAATTGTTATGGTTACTGCGCTTGTTGAAAAAGGTCGTCAAAAATGTGCTAAATACTGGCCGCCAATCAATGAAACATTAGAAGTTAACAGCAATATAACATTAAAATTGGTGTCTGAAGAAACTGATACTTCTAACATTATTGTTTATCGACAAATAGAGTTAACTGAAACAAGCGTAAGTATTCATTAAAAGACATCTTAATCGCATTTTTCGTTCGTTTTACAATAGGTATAACAGTATAATAGCTAATTTTTTACCAATAGTTCACCTTAAGTTCTATTAGTTTAAGTATTAAAGTGAATTAATATATTATTGAATAAAAACTAAATTGGATTTATTTTTATGAATTTGAATATATTTGAATTTTTTAAATCAAATCACAGAAAACATTTTGTCTTGCATTTATGTGTTTTTTCCAATTTCTAATTTACATATTAATTTTAAGTTAAATGTGTATACATGTATCTAATACAAGTAATTAATTGTATTCGTCATCATTTATCAATATACTATATAACATAATTCACATTAAAGACGATCTGTACTCCCTTAAATGGATAAATACTAAATAGCTTAAAAATAAGACTTATATATGTAAAAATATTGGAAAATTCTAAGTTTAAATATTTTATTTTTTGACATAAGATGTACATAGTTAATTTAAAAATATATTTTACAGACTAATGAAACTAGATCTGTTACACAACTTCAATATAGTTTATGGCCTGATCACGGTGTACCAGACGATTCAGATCGCTTGTTAAATTTAGTAGGAGCTGTTCGTAAAGAACGTGCAGGTGTTGTTGAACCTGTTGTTATACATTGTTCAGCTGGAATTGGACGTACAGGAGTGATAATTTTACTAGAGACTGCATTATGTTTAATAGAAGCAGGTCAACCTGTTTATCCACTTGAAATTGTCCGACAAATGCGAGATCAACGAGCTATGATGGTACAAACTTCAGTAAGTACACTTAAAATAAAATATTTATATACATTAAATTTGGATGCATTTTAATCATTTTTTACAAGAAAGTATCTGTGTGATATTTCACACATTATATAATAATTTAAAATATATGTTATTATGATTTTGAAATAGTGCATTTGGTTTATTCTTACATTATTAATAATACCTGCGTAAATAAACATTTTTTTTTTTAGAATCAATATAAATTTGTTTGCAGTTGCATACATTATGCATTTACACAGGGTATTGTTAAACCATTGCCGGAATATAGTCAACAATAAAATAATCTGTTCTCTGGTAAATGCAATTATTCCTCAAACAACATATTTATTTATTTATTTATATACTTTTTTCTTTTTCGACATTGAAACACCAGAAAAATGAAAAATTTAATATTGTATCAACATTATTTATTGTGTACCATGACTTAACTTCATACAAGCATCAAAAATTTTTCTTATTTGATTTATTATTTATTATTTCTTATTGAATTAACCATTTTTTTTTTCCTTTATTTAATTCTTAATTTATACATTTGCCTTTTACTAACTTCATGTATTGCCTTAATTCTATTTGTTTTTATAAATGTATTATTGTACTCCTAATATGTATGTAATTCATTTGCCCTGTATGTGTTTTTATAAATTCTTTGTTTGTGATTATAAACTAATTAAAGAAAGTACATTGATTTTAGTGTCAATGAAATAAAAATGTTTCTATTATAATGTTGTAACTTATAGATTTTAAAATTATTTCCAGAGATATATAATGTTTATAACTAAGTACATATTATATTATAATTTTAAAGTGATGTTTTAAAGTATTAATATGTATACACTTAATTCATATTACCACTATTTAGCAAATTTAGATATCTGTGTTAAAATTTTAAATTAACAATAAATATTGAATTGTATTCCACCTTAAATACTAAAGAAATTAAATTATACTAAACTTTTAAAGAACTATTATACATCAATTAAATCAAACATTTATATTATTTAAGTATTAAATGATTTAAATGTAACTATTAAATAAAAAGTATTTCAATATCAATAAATGTATTTAATTAATTTGTTTGTTATTACAAAATCATTTTAAATGATCATATGTATTAATCTTAACAGGTATTAATCTATACAGCATTCTGTTGCAGCTATCAACTCATAGATGAAACATTTAAAAATTCGAGTTGAATAATTAAAAATGATTTTCATTAGTTTGTGTTGCTTGGCTAAGATGTTATCATACTTTAAATGAACAATTTTCACTTATGAATAAGAAATAATTAAAAGTACACATTTATTAAAACTGAAAATATCTGTAATAATAAATTAATATTGAAATTTATAAATATTAGTAATAAACTTTTAATAATTATATTCTAGTATCTTTGAATAGCTTATTAATGGCAATTATTTTTTATAATTAATGTTAGTGTATTTTACAGTTATGACAAAGGATGCAAAATAGACTTCATATAATCATAACTTTTTTTTATTATTATTATTATTATTTATAAGGTTTATACGATCTGTTCCTTTAGGGACAATAAGAATATGTGATATCAGAAGATGTTAACATGAATACGTGATGGGAGGAGTCACCCAGTGGTTACACTACTGGGTATATGATTATGAAAAAAAAAAAAAAAATTATCATAATCATAACTAAATAAAATAATTTATAAAAGTATTTTATGCATTACTTTTAGACCATTCAATAATCTAGTATTTAGCAATTCCGTTTTCTTTTATTCATTGCTTTACTATAAATTGGTATTAAAAAAATTTTAAATTAAGGTTAAAAAGCACCACTTGAAATAAAAATCAATAATTTTTTTAAACCATTCCCATTAAAAAATCAATTTTATAAAATAAAAACAATCACATAATATGTTTTTATGCAAACCTTCATTAATCTGGAAATCCTGTGTTTGATAGCCGATTATTTAAAACTTATAAATTCATAAATGGTATATACGTGTATAATGTAATGAATACTCAATAAAACAATTATAGGTTCTAAGAAACCATGTATTTTTTTTAATAGTGTATTTTACGGTACAAATTTCTTACACGATTAAATTTCATCTGCACATTAAAGTAATTTATGAGTGGTGTAAATAACTACAATTGGAAACATAAAAATGTTTACTATAAGATACAGAACATATCAATAAGACAACATTTTATTAATTAAAATCTAAATGCCTGCCATTTGTTTTTTATGCAACAGTCTTCGGTGGGTTGAATATGACGTCCAAATTCTTGATTTCCTCTGAAACAATTAATATTACAAATAAATAACACTGTTTATTGAAAGCTTTATTTAAGAGTACATAATAGTATGTAGGTGGGAGTATCACTAATCACTCATAAAAAGAACACTAACTGTTAAGAATGCAATTTAAAAATATGGCATCTATTAAATACAAGAAAAATTATTAGATATTTATAGAATCGAGAGAAATAAGATGGCTTTGTTGAATTACTCTAGTAAATTGCAGAACAAAAATATAATAGACTAGGTTGGAAGTATCAATTATATTTATTCCCACAGGGAACACAAAATTAAGATCATGTTAACTAAACTGAATTATATCACTGAACCAGAAATTATTTAGTTAGATTTAACACTAATAATTTTGTTTATAACCTATTTTGTTAGCTAGTATTAACTAATAATTACGTTCAGCAAATTTCTTCTTTTCTTCTGCAATCTTCGATTCTCTTTCAGCAATCTTTTGATGGCGAGATTCCTTTGTTCTATCTTCTTTCTTTTGAAGATAACTGTGTCTAGTAGCTCCATAGGTTACACCTAATAATAGGAAGCTCCATCGACCAAACTGAATAACAATAAATATAATTAGTATCTAATTTTTAAAGCACATATACTCATACACATATAAAAATATATTAACAACTGAAGCTCTAACACTTAGTAAAACTAGGTTTTACTATTTGAATAATAAATAAAAAATTGTATACAGTATTTTTTTTGCACAAAATATGTTATTGTGACAATGTTTATTATAAAGTATACTTAATACAAATGATTCGATTTACTTTCAGTGAAGAAAAAAGTTTTTTCATATTCAAGAACAATGTTATGTTATATAAGCAAACCTAAAGTTGTTTCTCAACTTTAATAATTGGGTAGGCAAGAATTTTTGAGAGGTGATCACTGTGTGAAATAAATTAGCGAAAAATGAAAGTGTCTTTAATCAATATACTTTGTAATATTACTACATTGAATGTGAATATTTTTAAAATTAATTTTCTAAATAATACTTTTTATAAGTAATTCAAATAAATATCAGTAATTTTTTTTAATAATTTACTGTTTAAATAAGATATGTATGTTTATAAACAAATATCTAACTAAGTAATATATTAAGGATCAATCAAATTTGTAGAATTTGTAAATCCTAGATAATAAGTATTTTTTTTTTTATGTTTGTTAGTTATTTGAAATGAAATTAATAACACATATTTTCCCCTTTACTTCCAAGTATTAGGAATATAATTATTGTTTAATGTTAAGCTGCATTAATCTATTTTACTAAGATCTAAAGCATAATAATGTATTCAATTTAAATGAAATTTTTATTTCAAATACTTAGATACTCTCTATTTGCCATTAATATTTATTATTATTTAGGTAAAGTTCATTAAATTTTATTTAATAATTTATAAAATTTCTTTAATGACCTTCAATTGACATTTAAATTGTTGTTTATACATATGTATATAAATAAATAAAACATAAATATTTTAAAAGTAATTAAATCCCTATTTACATTAAATTTTTGAATTTAATAAAGTGATCTACATTTAGGTATTATTAACAATATGAATTAAACCACTATTCATACCCAATAGTATCTCAGCATAAGAGATTTATAATATGACCTATATAACATTAATAACGATACATAAATGTTATAACAAAAATGATGATATAGTACAATATGTATTATCGTTTAATATTCAGCAATCAATATTAAGAACCTTTTAGAGCAAACCAATTTTTAAGTTCTGATAATACCTATCTGCATATCAAAAACATACACCTAAATATTGGCAATTTTTTCAACTTTCTAATGTAGATTACACAGAAATATCATATCAGATTAATCTTAATAGTACATATCAATTGCATCTAATAAAATACGGAAATTGATATTAATAAACACGTTTCCGTGTGAAATGATCAAAAGAAAAATGTAAGCATTTTTATCTCTGTAGATCTAATGGGAATGGGTTTTTACAATTAATTGCGAGAAGATAATTTGAATTCTTAAAAACAGAGCATGTAACTTTTAACAACACGCCTAGAGTAGATTCAATGATTGAAATGGCAAACCGCATATTTTCGAGCGTAGTGAAAAATGGTTTGACTAAAAAAAAAAAAAATCACTTACCCTGATAAGTGGCGATACGTTGACTGGTGCTTTAAAGTCTCTCGGCATTTTGGCGATTAGAGGGATGAAGTTTGCGTTCAAAAGTCAACAACCTTTTCTGCGTATGCAAAATAAATTTTTGAGTATCTCGAGTAAAAGCGATTTGGGTGTAAGTCTGGCGCCTGGCTATGAAAAAATTAAAATGTTATTGCACTAGAATCTGATAGTGGGGAAGAGATTTTCTTTCGGTCGTACCAACCCAACGGTCAGATGTTATCGTACACGGTACACGGTATTATGTTTTGACGAGCGCAATCCAACACGAACATACGTTTATGTTGCCGGCATAAATTTTGCGCCATGAACAAATGGTTTGAATATTATAATAAAATTGTGTTCTTTAAAATAAATCATAAATCATGATTTAATAATTTTTATTATTATTTAAATCGTCGGTATCATTTAGAAACCGAATATCGAAATATCGAATATTATTTTAAATGTTCATTGTGTACATAATTTAACTAAAATTATTTTAATTTTTATATTATACAAACTATCATCGAAATAGTTAATTAAGTTATTGTACCTATCTTTTTGTGTTTTGCCGTTTAATAAATAAATTTTAGTTTCTAGTTCTTGTTTTATAGTTTTTTCGCCATTATTTTACCCAATGAATCTTAAAATTAAATTTAGGATTATAAATTTTTTATAAAAAACTGTTTGAGTTTTAAACTAGGTAGTAGGTACACAATAATTTTGAAATATTTTCAATTTTTAACTTTTAACAATTTAAATATTAATTGCAATATGCATTTTAAAATTTAGTCAAGTTATAAATACTTAATACAGTAAAAGGTTAAGTTTAATTATTTTAATTCATGGGACCGAATAATAGAAAAAGTGCTCTATGCGTAATGCGTCTATCATAGTATCATAGATAGGTAGATAATATTACAAATTACATTTATTATCTATGGCTTTCATACGATGAAGATAAAAATTACTATACCAATTGTTATCTCTGTTACTTCGTATTTTATGATAAGAATATTCTTTTGTTGACTTGACACTAGACAGTTGACTTTCCGAAGGTTTAAATTTAAAAAATAGAAATATTTAATATCTGTTTTGTTCATATTTAGAGTATTTAATTTCGATTAATGCACTACTAACTAATTTGTTATTTAATCATGTCAAATAATTAGTATTAATTTTGTAGATTTGCTTATAATCAATTCGTCGAAAGTTTTTTAAGTGTTAATTCAACTGACTAATTTTTTTTTTGGTTTATTGTAAAAGCAACTATGGAAATCTCTAGACGCTTTTTTGACATACTTAAATCTATAAATTACCATGTTGGTCACTTGCCTAAAGAGTTATTTGCCAATGAAGAACAGCTTCCTGAATTATTACCTATTTTCACAATTTTGATCAATAGTGTCAATCAACAGTCAAATTGTTTGACACCTAAAGAATTAGCACTGTAAGTATATTCTTTATATCATTATTTTCTTTATTTTATTATGTTGATACGTTTCTTTAGTATAAATCTAGTTTAGCACCCCCTCGAAATTTTGATTTTTTTTCATAACCTATGTATTTTAACGTTTTAAAAATTATGGTGCCAAAAGTTTTTTTTGTAAATCATTAGTTTTAAAGTTATAGCCTACTAGGTTTACGATTTTTGGTGTCTTATGCATGCGCAAAATGCATAGTGGTGATATAATATTATTACTTTAATATTATAAAATACAGGTTAAATAATAATATAATACATGGCATAGCACTCATACTTACACGTCTATAATATATTCTTGTATATAGGCAATAAAAATGTTGGGCACTATTTATTTTTAAAACATTAAAATTATGTATTTTTATTTTGCTTTTGTATTTTTCGTCATTATCTAGTAATTGACTACATTTTTGGCCGTTGTTAGCAAAATTATGAGCATTATTTTTTAGCCCTGTGACTTACCTTAGGTGGTGTTGCATAACAAATCGAGGGATATTTTCGTTTTGAATGCCTGAGCGAGCGAGTGACAACGCTGGCCCCTAATTTCCTTTGAAAACGTATTTGAAAATAAGCATATATATTTGTTTGGATTACTCAAAAACTAATGATTTCCAGGAAAACATTTTAAGACCATAATTTTTAAAACGTTAAAATACAGAGGTTTCCAAAAAAAAAAAAATCAAAATTTCGAGGGAATGCTAAACTAGGTTTGTTCCCTTATTGAAAAAAATTGAGTACAGTATTTAATACCATTAATTATTTTAGTATAATGTAAATATTTTAATCAAATAGCATTTTTTTCTAATGGGTGTGCATATGAGGTAGTCAATACTGTAGGTACTGCTAATTACTTTTTTGATTTTTTTTTGTACAATAACACAATAAAATGTTAATACTATAACTATAATATGTACTTGTATTCTTAAAAAACACTTAAGAACTAAATATTAGACAAAAAATAAATGTCAAAACTGTAGATCATATATTAAGCTAAAATAAAATAAAATAGGGCTTTCCTAAAAAATGTTTGTATTTTTTGCTTTTATTATAAAATAGTAAAATACTATATTTATTTTTTGTCTATGCTGATTATGTTCCCTAACCTTACAATAACCAACTATTTTTTTTTGTTTTGGGTATTGCTTGTATTATTTCAAAGTAGAAAATGATTAAAAACAAAGAAACTAGTAAAACAATTGAAAAAACCACCTAAAATAAGTTAAAAGGGACTAATTTTTAAGTTAGAAATCATAATAACTAGACTTTAATTTCTATAATATTCTGCTTGATTTTAAATTAAGCTAAAAAAATAAATAAATACTTTAGTCTCAAGTCTTGCTAATTATTGAGTAAAATTGATATGTATAAATAAATTTATTTATTTTCTTTTAGTTACACTTCTATATCTTCGAAGAATGATCATTTCTCTTCTATAGAAAAAGTATCAAAAGCCATTGATAAATTTTATGATGAAAATACTGAAGATGCAATAATATGTTCTTCTGATTTAGAAAATTTAGAAAAAAAAATTTTAAAATCTCAGCAAGAATTAAGTGATTTAAAGGCACATGGAGCATTATATGAGTAAGTAAAATAGAGTAATTTAGATGATAAGTTTTATTTGCGTGTTAAACTCTACAATTTAAACATTCTAATTATCATATAATTAGAATATTATGCATTAAAAACCTAATGCTAAAATAAGGCACACCAACTATTTGTTCTTTACCTTATATTCTAAAATTTTAGAAAAGTGTGTGAATGTAAAGGCTAAAATTGTGTCTTTTTCAGTACGTTAAAAATTTACAAGTATTTAGCGCATATTATCAGTTTTTTTATGGTACATAAAAGCATAATATCTACATTATTTAAGTAATTACTGTGTTAATCTATGTACATTAATTTTCTTATTTATAATTAGTTTAATTAACTGTTAAATTAATAAAAATTCTAATGATTTAAAAATATTTAATAATGAAACACATTTCTATTGACTAATAATTTAATAATTATTAAAGATCTTATACTTAACAGTCCATTTTTTAGACAAAATAAAGTTCATGACAGATATAAATAACATTAAACCAAACTAAAAAAAGGGCTAAAATCAATAACTTCTCTGCTGTACAATAAGCATTAAATTATTAAGTATACCTTGTCATTGAATAAATCACTGTAATGTTTGTGGTAAATTATGGATTTACTATAATTTTATTTTTATTTTTAAACATATGTGAAACCTTGTTTTAAGTCTTTATATTGAACAAAAATATTATTATTGATATTTAAAGAGAGAAAAAATAAAAATATTCAAATGTTTATAAATAGAATCAAAATATTTTTAAAATACTATGTTTAGAAAATGTTTATACAAACATTTGGTAAAAATGTCAAGGACATAATTACAACAAAATAAGAAAAATAATTTTGTCAAGAACAGGTTTATCATGAAATTGTTCAATTTTTTTCCTTGATTTTTCTATGACTCCCAATTATTAAAAAGAATACTATAAATTTTTTTTTTGTGAAATAACCTAGGTAAATGTACCACTATACGGTATACATATGCATAATAATAATAATAATTTAAATGTGAAGTCATCTTTTCTATAACTTATACACATAAATATAAAATTAATTGTTAATTTTTAATTTTCATTTATTATCAGTAAATAGAAAGAAAAGGCAAAAGATTTAATTATAAATGGTAATTTATTAATTCTGAAGATGCTATTAATAAAGAAAATGCATTCATGTTAACCAAATACTCAATTTTGGTACCCAATACTTTAATTACTAAGGATACTATTGTATTGTACATTTGTACTAATCTAATGACTAAAGTAAATAACAATCATGAATTTATGTAGTTAGCAAAAATCACCAGAAATTTATAGGAAGTATATTTAAATGGACAGAATTTTTAAGAGATTTAGTTAAAATTAATCAATTGAATATAATTGATAATAACAAAACTTATGAAATTTTGAATTAAAAAGTTTATTTTGCTGATAATCTGTTCCCATTGCATAACATATTCCTTAACCATTTTATTCAAAAGATTTTAGTATAATTTATAATTATAAATTTTTGAGAGTAATAAATTGTATAGAAAATATATTTGTCTTAATTACATTCAAATAATATGTATTACATTTTGTATAAATTTAAACCCTGAAAAAACAACTTAACAATACGTTAGGTTAGTAAATCTATTAATATATTATTACAATATGTATATGAATCAGTATTTTGAGACAAATTAGTAGTTTGTGTATGCTGCATCAGCAATTAACTAAAAAAAGAAAATCGATTACGGTAGCTTATAAATTCCTAAAATTAAAATTAGCTAAACATAATTTTATTTTTAAATATGAAAATAAAAATAGAGAGAAATATATTTAATATTTTAATTGTCCTAGTGCAATTGAGTGGTAAGAAAAAATTATGTGTGCAAAAATATCTTAAAAGTAACATAGGTAACTACAATTATTTTTTAAATTAATATTTCAGAAATTATAAAATTTTAATTTTCTAAATGTAGTTAGCTATTAAATTTATAAATTTATTGGTCATATATTCCACTATATTAATATGTATATATTTAATCAACGTATTAACTTTATTTTTTTTAATCAAATTGTTAAACTATATGACTACATAACTTAAGTGATGTATATGATATTATTAATACATTAAAATTTTTTTTTTTAAATACTTTTCAAAACAATAATAATATAAAATTATAATATCAATTATTTCATTTTTTATTTTTGAATGGAAAATATATAAATGTTACCTAATTAATTTTGGCATAATTATATACATTTATGTAAGATTATAATTTTAAAATAACTACATTTGAATTGTTTTTTTATGTTTATTTAAAAACATTTTAATATTAGTATAACAATATTAAATTTTGAGGCAAAAATTTTAATATAATTAAATATAACTGATTCATATATTTTAAACTTATCTATTTGAAAATTATAGTTGCAACATTACAATTATTTGTGTTAGATTTAAAAAAAAAAAATGCCCATTACCTGTATAAATTTATTTATTTTTCAGTATAATATAATGAAATTCCTTTTAAATCTACTATTATTTTAAGTTGTTTTAATTAAAAATATTAAAAATTAATTTATATTAACAATTGTTATTTATTATGTATATTTTCTGGTGTAATATTTAGAAGCTATATTTGAGTTATTATTATTTTAATACATTTTTATATCATGGCTTATAACTAAGTTATAATTATGATTATTATTAATAAAAAAAAGTTAACTATTAAAAAATTATAATACCTATAAAAATATACCAATATGCCAAAATTAAATTCTAATTAGATTAGGTACTCTGTAATTTAGTATTGTAGAATAATGTATACTTTAATATATTCTCTTTCACGCAAGTTTGGTAAGACATTCTAAGTTTATCATAAAAACTGATCATCTAAATGGTCCTATTTGTTTTGTAATGTATTATAACTTTTTTTTTACATCTAATTTGGTTTCAAATTAATATTTAGAAAAAAGATACATTCAATGGATGATGAAATTTCTTCACTTAAACAAAAAGAAGATATTATCAGTTTATCTTGTTTTAAAACTGAAAATAATTTGGATACAGTTATGAAAAAATTAACTGATGAAGTTGATTCACTTGGTTCTAACATTAATAAACTTCATAATCATGTTACCAATAGTATGACAAATGTAAGTGTTACTTAAAATAATTCTAATTATTTATATTGTTTACTTGTATTGCTTGTAATGTGTTATGTATTAAAGATAAAAAATTTAAATGTTTAGGATTATGAATGTTTAACAAAATTGGCATCAAATAACTTGATTAATTTGACTGATATATGGCGTCAACAGATTTTTAAAATGATAGACGTATGGTTTAAAGAGGTAAAATAAAATTATTTATATCATTATAACTATTTTTTTGGCATGTTATTTCTAAATAAATAATTTTATAACTTACAGGAAAATGTTTCTTCTGTAATAAATGATAAGTTTTCTTCTAAAATCCATACTCTAAGTCAACTCTCACAAAGGTAAATTTTGTTATCATTTTTATATCTTAATTATATAATTAATCAAAGTATTTATTGTTTAGTTGTACAGCTTTAAAGATGGCTGGAATGAACAAAAAATGTGAGATATCAAAATTAAATATGGCAGTGAATAATATACTCAATATTAAAAATTATTTTAATGAAGATAAAGAGAATCTGCATTCCAACAATCAAGATATAATAAAGTAATTATAAATAATTTGAAAATAATTATAAAATTAAAATGTATTATCCCTTTATGTTATAACTAGAGATTGTAAAATAATTTCTTTGTTGGATTATAATATTAATAATAAAATGTTATTTTAGTTACATTGAAAAGCATATAAAAGATCCAGAAGTACTTATGGACATTAATGCACAGTCTCAATCTACTGGATATGACAATATACAATCTCGTATATCTGAAACAGTGATCGCAGACGCGACACAAAAACTTTCAAAATTGGAGACAATTAATGGTCGTTTAACGTTCATACAAGATTCCATTGAACACTACATCATGATTTGTGATGTGTTGTGGTGCCTTATGAGAACAGGCTGTTCTATGGCAAACTTAAAATGTGAATTAGTGTTACATTGTATCAATGTTCTTGAAAAAACTTTTGACGACATTACATTGGCAGCTGTGAGTTCAAGAATATTCCACAAATTATTTAAATTATTGGTTGTTCATTTTTATTTTTAATATACTTATTATATGTTTAGAAGTGGACTATGAATCTCAAAGATACTGAAGAACCGAAAAAACATGAAAATTATTTATCCATCGACAGCGAGTTTGTAAAATTTGATGGATATAAACATTACTCCAGCATTTATACCAATAGGTAAGCCTTTTTATGAAATTTTTATTAAGACAATTCATTTTTAACCAACTCAGTCTTTGTCTAACACTCATAGAACATAAAAATTTTAACATGTTTTTGCCAATTATATCAATTGATCTAATAAAGTATAAGAACATTGAAAATATATTTGAACTTGTTAAGTTTGATCGATATCAATTTTCCCACATTTATGAATTAGATTAGTCTGTTTGACCAAAAACATGTCTACATTTATAAGTTGTGCAAACGTTAAACAAAGACAGGAACCGTCGATATCAAATATCCTCAAGATTACTTTCTGATTAGAAATTACATATATCTTGATATTATTTTTTTAATTGTAATTGACAAAGATAAGTAGATGATACATACTTGTATGTTCTATAGCACACAGAAAATATTATAAAACCTATTTAACTAATCAAAATTGGTTAAACTTTTCATTTTTCCTTGATTTATATGTCTTTAAACTTTCAACATTCTTAAGTTTGACAAATATTCTATAATTATTTGTTTTGTAAATAGTTTTTCCTAACAAAAAATCATAAATAAAATTCCATTTGACTGATAGAAATTTTGATTACATTAATTTGACATTAAAAATTACCTCAATTACTTATCCTAATGCTGTTATTTTAATTTTTTTAATTGTTTTATAATCCAGTCATTAAATAAGTGTGTATACTAAATCAATGGTTTTAAAATTTTTATAAACATAGCACACTGTATTCCTCATTTTATGCCTTATGGTTTAATCATGAACAACTTTCTAAGACTTGTTAATAGAATTATAGTTCCTAAAGTATGAAAAAAAGTTAATAATATTGATTTTTTTTTCAGTAATGAAATTGAAAAATTATCAAAGATGGTACAACAATGGAAGAGTAAATATCATTATAGCAGAGATGAGTGTAATCAGCTTGCCACTTTACAGCAAAACTTAAAAACGTACAGTGACACAGTTAATGATTTAACTAATAAGCATTCAAATACAATATAATGAGAATATTTTATTATTTTTTATTTCATTGGAAAATAACATAGGTTAAGTAAAAATTTGATATAGTTTTGTATTTACTTAAGTATAAAATTAGTTGATAAGTAACAAATATTACATTTTTATACTAAAATAATCGTTTTTCATATGAAAATAGACTGTGTACATTTCCTTCGAGTTGTGCTGAATGTGTACGTCTTTCAAATCTAAGTTCACCTGATAACATCATTGCTCTGAGATTTTTAAGCGATTTAGTACCAATATCTTGACAACTGTGTCTTAAACCACACTGTATGTATGGTAAGAACCTGAGAGCAGAACCTTTATCCACAATTGTTCCACTGACACCTTGAGCAACTTTCAAGGAATCTTTTTCACTGTGAATAAAAATCTGATTAAATAAAATATAAAGCCATGTGACGGGCAAATATTATTAAATCTTACCTATGGAAATATCGGTTTAATGCTGATCCTTTAGCATCTTTTCTGTTCATTGCTTCCAAACTTCCCATACCACGATATTTTTTTAACCTCACACCATCTGAAAAGAAATATTCACCAGGTGATTCAGAAGTTCCAGCTAACATAGATCCCATCATCACTATAACAAAAAAAAAATGAAATAAATTAAATATTATATGTAAATTTGTTCTGTTGTAAGGTTGACACTTAGGTAAATTAAACATTTGACATCAATAAACAATATATGAAATTTCTATTAATTTGATTTTATATAAAAATATTATTTTATTGTAGTATAATTCATACATTTTTCATGTTATCAAACTTATTATTCATATATTGCTAAATCATTTCAATTTAAGTTTATTTTTCTTGCAATTAATTTACATTCTTAATAGATGGCCTATTAAAATTATAATAGTGGATTAAGTATAATTACCTGTGGATGCTCCAAGTGCAAGCGATTTAATTATGTGACCTATGGATTGAATTCCACCATCACCTATAACAGGTACACCAAACTGTGAAGCGTATTGAGAAACTCTGTAAACAGCAGTTCCTTGAGCCCGACCAACTGCCATTACTTCTTGTGTTGTACAAATAGAACCACAGCCCATACCAACTCTTAGGCCATCGGCACCAGCATCTATAAGAGCTTTGGCTTGTGCCATAGTAACAACTAAAAAATAATAATTATGTTTAGTTAAACAATAAGATTTACATAAATAATGTATTACCGTTTCCTGCAATAACTTGTAATGATGGCAGATTTTTTTTAATGTATTTAATCATGTCAATTTGATACACTGAGTTTCCTTGTGATGAATCCTAATAATGAATTAACACGATAAAACATATTGAAAGGCATTAATGGAAAAATTAAAATGCCATTCTTACCAAAACTATAACGTCAGCTCCAGCTTGATGTAATAAATGAAGTCTTTCCTTGTCATCCTCGCGTGTTCCTATAGCGGCACCAACTAAAAGTTGTTTATTTTCATCTTTTGATGCTTTAGGATAATTACGGGATTTTTTCAAATCTGTTCTGGCAATTAATGCAACTAATTCACCATTTTCATTTAAAATAGGCAATTTTCCTTTTTTAGAATTTTCTAAAAGGCTATTGGCTTGTTCTAAAGTTACCCCAGATTTCGCTGAAATTATATTTTCTATTCTTGTCATTACCTGAAAAATTAAAATAATAATATATTACTGAAATTTAAATTCTAATAATATAGTATTTAACAAAAATATATTGTAACATAAATTTAAATAATTACCAAGTTGACTGATTGTTGTAATTGTTCAGATCCTTCAAGAAAATCTATATCTCTAGATGTAACAATACCAACTAATTTACCACCCAATTTACCATTTTCAGTGACAGGAAAACCACAAAATCCGTGTTCTTCTTTTAATCGAAAAACATCAGATACCTATCATCAATAAATAACTCATTACTTTTTTTTTTTTTAATTTATGAAATTTGCAGTTTTAATAAAAATAAAATGTTTACCAATAAATCTTGTGATATAACTACAGGATCCCGAATAAATCCATGTTTGTATTTTTTTACTTTCAGTACTTCACTTGCTTGATAGGCAGGTGAACAGTTGTGATGAATAATACCAATGCCGCCACAAAGCTAATATACAATAATATCAAATTGATGATTTGTGATAATGCACGAGTAATTTTAATTTGAAACAAATTATTTATGAGTTATATCATTAAAATTCCTCTTTATGCATTTGTGATGTTTTAATACATTGAGACCTTTTTTTTTTTACCAGTTATCAGATAAAAGTAAGTTTTATCTAAGATGATTATAATTTCTTAATGGTAAACAATTATCAGTTTTTTCTTTGCTATCTTAGTTAATTTAAAAAAATGTGTATTATCTTTATTTAACAAATTCATTATTTTAAAATCGATATTGATATAAAATAAAGTTATGTAACTTTTTTAATTAATAGGTAAGAGACAATATTATTTTTAAATTTTAGATCAAAGTTCAAAAAATAATTAAATTGGTATTTTTTAGTTCTAGAAAAAATATATATTCAATATCCAAAGATAAGATGGTTTATTTCGTTACTTTTATTAATTCACAATCATAAATTATGAATAAGATAAAAATACTTATTATTTTACTAATAACATTATCAAAATGCTATTAATTATAATGCAATAGAATTTTACTTACTGCCATTGCTGTAGCCATTTCTGATTCAGTTACAGTATCCATAGGAGATGATACTAATGGTGCTTGAAGAGTAATATTCTTTGTTAAAGGTGAAGACAAATCCTAGAATCGCCAACAGTATATAGATTTATCTTTGGTTTAAATTATTATTATAAGAAACTGAGTAACAATAAAATTATAAGTAATTCACTATTTTTCTAATTAAACTTAATGTATAAGTTGTATTATTTTCATTATAACATAGTCCATTTGTATGAAAAACAAATTAATTTATTAAAATATCAATAGTTAATAAATTTTATACAAATTAATAAATATTATGAACATTTTTAATTATTATGAAAAAAAAAAAAAATTTAAATAGATGATAAATTTTATAAATCAATAAATAATGTACCTATACATTTTTAGTATTTAGTCAAATACCTTAAAGAATTTAGTTAATTACCCAGAGTATGTTCATTAATAATATTAAATTTTAAATACTATTTAGTTAACTGATGCCAAGGATCATGAGAACTGATTATTTAATTGTTTACTTAAATTAATTAGATCAATAATGAGCTATTAAACTAAGTTTAATAGATTATATAGTAGTTTATACTACCCATAAATATAGAATTTTTAAAAGATAGTTCTTAATAGAAAAAAATCAAATATCTATTGTAGTTATAGATTTAACACATAAAAAACATAATTTTTTTTTAATTTGGTATACACATTTCAAATGTAAAAATGTTTAAGATAATATTTTTTAAGTAAATATCTATCAACATTAAAAATAATTAAACTTATCATGTTTTAATACCATAAAAATGGTTTAATACTACAGCCCAGGTTATGAGTAATGACGTGTTCAACATTTATATTCCCCTTAGAATAAAAATTTTTTGGCTTCATTTTAATATTATATATTTATACTAGATATTAAAATTCTACTTTAATAAGGAATGGTGTTAGGTAATAATTCTATAATATGGTAGAAAGTAAATGAAGACTTACAACATCTCCTGCTACAAAATCAATAAATCCAGGCAATAATATAAAGTCACTGAAACACAAAACAATCAAAATATTAAAATAAAATATCTTATTGAGAAATAATCATACTAATTATATAACTGTGCAACTTTAAACATTTAATTGATGCATTATAGTAAGATTTTTATATATTTATTCCTTAACAATTTATATAATTATCAATAGTTATTATTTTTAGTCTATGGTTTAGGTTGACATATACTTAAAAGTATTATTTTAAGTGTTATGTTGATAACACCTAAATTATAATATACATGACGTTTATACAATTAGTTTAAATTTATTGATTAGGTATATGTAAACATAAAAAAAATAATATCATTAAGCTTCATAATTCAATCAAACATGGAAATATTTTAATGAATTAATTAGGTATAATTACTAAATGCATAAAACAAACTTACTAATACCACAGAACAACAATATTCAATAGATATCAAATTTAATGGTATTGTTAAAACAAATAATCAATGAAATAATATAGGTAGTATTCATATTATATTTAATCATTTTTACTAAAGTTATCTTAAGTGTTTTCCCATTCTTAATATATTTTAAATTAAATTTTGGAAGAATAAATATTTATAGACATAATTTGGCATAAAAAGTAAAGTAGATAATTAAAAAAACATAAATGTACTAAAAACCTAAATTACATCATTTTTTTTCAATGAAGACTTTAAAATTTAAATTATTAAAAAATATCTTATTAGATAGTAAGTGTTATTTTTATAACATGCAGATCTAACTATTCTAGAAAATATGTAGGTATTCATTTTTCATAACTAAGTAGATTAAAGAGATGACCTATAACATCCTAGTTGTATCACATTTCAATTATGTAATACAAAGAAATAAAGAATTATAAGAATAATTGAGCTTCTATGAAAACCAATAAATAAATAATACAGAAAAAAATTATTGTCTTCTTTAACTTTTATATTACCAGATTTTTCTTTAAAACTAATTAAGAATTTAATTAAAATTTAAAATATTTGTTCAGTACAATAGTACCTAAATATCAGTAAATATTCATAACTACACTGTTGAACAATTACCTGCAGATCAATATTAACCCAATATATAATAGAATAACATAGTGTACATTTCTTTCAATAGGCTTCATAAGTGTAGATAATGTAATACAATTTTGATCAGTGATATAGCCATGACAAGCAAATTAATAAAATATTGTTTAACAACCCTTATTGACATGTATTATGTTTTATTGAACACTGTAGTTTTAATGATAGAGAAACAAAAAAAAAATACATCAACAAAATTAGGTAGTAAACTTTTAATTGAATGATATTATATGGCAATATTTAATATACTTACACATTGAGTTGTTGACTACAATACAGATCAAAATAAATGTTGAAGTAGGTACCTACTTATTAAGTGAACGATAGTTATAATACTATAATATTTCACTCACCGCAACATGAATACTAAATTTATGTTTTAAAAATTTAATTAATTGGTTTTTATAAAATAAAAATAGTAAAACTCAATTTTATATCTAAATCTTGGACTTTTACGACTTGTTTAAAGTATATAATAATATTTGCATTTTATATAAATAAATTTCAAGTTCAATTTGTCATATTATTTCTCATAGGTAGTAAATAATTACTGTTAGACACTTCAATACCTAAATTTTTTGTAGAAAACAGTATTTTAAAAAATTTCAACCAAGCATTTCCCCACAATCTATGAACAATAGACATGGGGGACCTTAATAACAACAATTGATGAAAACGATTATTTTTGGCACTTAATTCGCCAACAAGATAAAGTCGGTGTGAGTGTGTTACATTTGCAAAATATCACGAATGCATTAAACGGAAATCGTCAGAGTGTCAGGGTCACTAAAGAAGTTAAACCGCCATAAGAGGGTTTAACATTTTAATTTGTCTGTGCATTTGTTAACGTCGCAATAACCGCTAACTACCCCTAACAGCTTTGAGATTATATTTTTTTTCTAAGTCTCAGGGAGTGTTACGGCCGCGAAGCGTCTTACCCGATCAACGACACACTCATACGAGCTCAGAACGTAGATCACGTACACGACGATATGGTGTCGGCGCGAGGGCTAATAACGAGGGATAGTGGTCGGCGATCCCCCCCCCCTAACACCACC